TGCACTTGCAAGGCAGGCAGTGGCACCACTGAGCTAAATTCCCAGCCCCAATTTTATAACAGCTTACAACTTAATTTTTTTTTTTGAGACAGGGTTTTGCCTATAATTCTAGCACTCAGGAGGCTGAGGCAGGAGGACTGGCATGAGTTTGAGGCCAGCCTGAACTACATAATGAGGCCCTGCCTCAAAAAACAAAAATAAGCACAAGGACCTGAGTTCAATCCCTGGTACCAAAAAACAACAAACAAACAAAACAAAAATAAGGGCTGGGGATTTAGTTCAGTAGTTCTGCTGCCTGCCTCACAAGTGCAAGGTCCCGAGTTCCATCCCTGGTACCAAAAAAAAAACCAAAAAAGATAAAATAAAATGCAGTCTTACACACCTGTATTTTAAACCTCAACAATAAACAGTTCCTGGGCAACCTGGCTTTCTTCATATTCTCATCTATTTTCCCCACCCCAAAAATCTAGATTATTTTGAAAGAATTATCACTCTATCTGCAAAGATTTCTAGTATAGTATATGTCTTTCCTTTTTTTTTCTTTTTTTGGTACTGGGGATTGAACTCCGGACCTTGTGCTTTCAAGGCAGGCACCAGAACCACTGAGCTAAATCCCCAGCCCTTAGTATATGTCTCTTAAAGACAAGAACTTTTTTTTTTGAGACAGGGTCTCCCTATGTAGCCCAGGCTGGCTTCAAACTCACAGCGATCCTCCTGCCTCACCCTCCCAAGTGCTGGGATCACAGGTGTGTGCCACCACACTCAGATGGACTCTCTTTTTCAAACATCACTCTCCCAAAGCAGCTATGATTGTCCGATATCAAAATATATTAGAGTTCACGTACCTAGAGCCAAACGACTGCCCTAGAAATGCCCTTTAATCTTGTTTTTTTGATGATTAGGCCTAGATTGCTAAAAGGTTCACTTACTGTAATTGAAAAACTTGTTCATGTATGGACAAAAGGGCTTCTTCATTTTCTTTTTAGCCTTTATCTGTACATGAAAAATGAAGAATTGCTATGTAGCAAAAAACGACCATCTCCAAATGAAGCAGCAATTCCAAAAAGCTGGCTGGAGAGGTGACTCAAAACGCCGAGTCACAGCTCTGCCATCGCAGATACCTTCCTGGGTGATAAGGAGGACCCGCTTCGAGTAAACACTGCAGCGCCCACTGGGGACTGCAGCCAACAGGGTGCCTGAAAAGCAGAGTCCTCTGCAGTAGATAGGAACTGAGCAAGTAAGAACTTGTAAGCCTGGAAAACAGCGTTCTTTTTTTGAGAGTCTCCCTAAGTGGCCCAGGCTGGCCCTGAATTTGTAATCCTTCTGCCTCAGCTGCCCCTGCTAGGATTATAGGTGTGCAGCACTATACCTGGGCTCATTTCTTTGTTCCAATGAAAGAGCCTGCTGGGCATGGTAGTGCACACCTGTAATCCCAGCACTTGGGAGGCTGGGGCAGTAGGGTCCCCTGGAGTTTGAGGCCAGCCTGGGCTGCACAGTGAGTTCAAGGCCAGTTTGAACTACACAGGGAGTCCCTGCCTCAAAAACAAACAAAAAAGCTTAAATGCCAGTTGGACTAGTCATTTTTATTATTTTTAATCCTAAAATTTTAATTTAAGGCCTTTTAATTTTCAAGGTTCATTCACTCCATTCTCCTCTGCATTGGTAATAGAAAAAACATTAGAGTAAATAAATTTTAACCTGGACTTCCTCTTCCATTTCTCACCTCAGCCTTCCCTATTAAATTTCCCCCGAGCCTCACCCCGCCCTGGCCGCCTTTTTTTGAGACAGGGTCTATCAGTACAGGTTGGCCTTGAACTCACTCCGTAGTCCAGCCTGGCCTGGAACTCAAGTTGATCCTCCTGCCTCAGCCTCCCAAGGGCTGGGATTACAGGTGTACACCACCACACCTGGCCCTACATCCCTTTTTTATTTTAGGGTTTTCTGAAACTTCTGTGCCTGAACTTTGCAGAGACAGAGTAATAACCACCAGGTACTAACAGAAACAGCAGCGAGAGCTCACTGGAGTGCAATGCTAGAGTTAAGAACTTGTGGTGCAAAGACAGGTGGCCCTGGTTTCCTGGCCTGAGAAATGGGGACCAGGAGCCACAGTCAAGGGAGAAGGTGCAGGTGCAGGTGCAGGTGCTGGCCCATGCACTCGGAGTAAGAAGCAGCTTTTATTTTCACTGCAAAGACACAGGGAGGGATCATCATCACAGTTTTAACCAAGAGACGGGATTCCTGCAAGGCAAGGCAAGGCAGAGAGCCTGGGCCGTGAGGGTCACACCTCCTGTCAGACATAGCTGTTTCCCTCTCTGAGAGTTCAGAAAACTTGAAAATCATCTATGACACAGCTTTGTGAATAATCAGTTCCAGGTAAGACAATCTGGTGGTGAATGAACTCCACAGAGATTAATCTGAAACTGGACTCTGATCCCCAAGTGATCCAGCCAGTGTAGCCCAGTCCCTGCTGGCCCTGCTGAGGGAAAACAAGCCTGTGGTGATCTAGATACCACCTCAGCTCTGAACAGCGCCTAAGCTCGCTTTGAATTGGAAATGAATGTGAAATAGGACTAAGCAGGGAGCATGGGCCGGAAGATGAGGCCCTGGCCTTGCAATCACCTTTCTCCATTCTCTAACTTTGGTCTAAAAAGCTTTTCTGTAAGGTCTCTCAGCTAACTGTGACACACAAGCAAAAGCCCTGAGAAATAGTGTTATGTATACATTGTTGCTTATATTATGAAAGCATTCTTCAGTTAAAGAATTCATTACAGCATTTCTTTTTCTAATAAGCCCCTTCCCTCTGAGTGTCAGAATCCAGAGTTTGGGGCTGAGAGCATAGCTTTGGGATATAGCACCTACCCAGGATGCACAAGCCCCTCGGTTCAATCCCTAGCACCTCAAATAAAATCTCCAGGGCTGGAGATTTAGCTCAGTGGTTCCGCCGCCTGCCTCAAAATCACAAGGTCCCGAGTTTGATCCCTGGTACCACCACACCCCTTCCCCCCCAAAATCCAGAGTTTTCCAGGTGTGGTGGCACACGCCTCTGATCCCACCATTAGGGAAGATGAGGCAGGAGGATCGTCAGGAGTTTGAGGCCAGCCTGGGCTACATAGTGAGATGCTGTCTCAAAACAACAAAACAAAACAAAATCCAGAGCTTTCTCAGAGCAATTTTCCATTACTCTTCTAGTCTTTGAAGGAAAGGAAGAGGAAGCAAGAACTCCAATGAAAATATCCTTGTTATTAATGTGCTGCATTTTGTTAGTTTCAGAACACTTAGAGACTTCCTGTGCTACTGTAGGCCAGCTCAGGCACGACGCTGGAATCCACATTGCACCCATTTGAGAGATGGGAAAAGCTGAGGCTCAGAGACAAAGCAAACTACATCACCTGGGTGGGAAAGAGGTGAAGCCAAGATGTTTTGGCCAAGTCCAGTGGTCAAGAAGCTGAAGCAGCAGGCCCTCCCTTCAGCAGTTTGGTCCCAGCCATCCTCCTTTTCCTCCTGTTAATTTTGAGTCTTGCCTCCCCTCATTTAATTAATAGATGGTCAAGATTTGGATGAGCCAATATTCAGTCAACTCATATTTTTTGTGCACTAAAAGGCACATCTTTGTTTTTTTCTAGACAGGTTCTCCCTAGGTAGTCCAAGCTGGACATGAACCCACTGTGCACGCCAGGCTGTCCTCCAACTTGCCGTGAACCTCCTGGCTCAGCCTGAGTGCTGGGATTACAGGTGTGTGCCAACATGCCTGGACAGGAGGCACATCTTTGAAGGCTTAAAGCAGAGCGAAGTAGAATCGTCTTTGTTCATTTTAAAAGATCACAATGAAGGCCAGGTGTGGTGGTGCACGCCTGTAATCCCAGTACTCAGGAGGCTGAGGCAGGAACACGGCTGTTAAATTCGAGGCCAGTTTGGGCTATGTAGTGAGTTCAAGGTCAGCCTGAACCACAAGACCCTGTCTCCCCGCTCCCCCCCAAAAAATCTTGTCTTTTTGCACTTGTTTCTAACATCTGACCTCATGCTCTCAGGTCCCTAAATTCCTGGAGGGCAGGTGCTGACTGCTTGTTAGAGGCCAGGGCCTGGCACCTGCAGGTCCTCGGGAGTGAAAAGCCAAACTGGGCCCTAAACTGCCTGGTCCCTAAATGGGCAGAATGAGATGCTCAGGAAAAGCAAGGGATAACAGGTGTCACTGAGTAGGTCCTGCAGGGTGAGGTAATGTGGACGCTCACACAGTGGTAAAGACATGTCGAGGCTCGAGCTGACCTGGGAGAATAGAGAACGCATCTGCCTTCCAGGGAAGTGAAGGCGGGGTGAAGCAGAACGCCCGCAGTGGACTGGCCCCTGGGCCTCCCTCCCGTGTCCCCGCCGCGCTCCCCCGAGCTCCGCACCCTGGGCACCAGGCCGCGCGGCACTTCCTGTCCGGGACGTAGCTTAGCGCGGGATGCGCGTCGTCAGATCCCCTCTCCAGGACAGTGCTGGGCCCCCGGGGAAGTCGCGGGACTCCACCCGTACGCCGCCCTGTACCCGAGGCTCTGTCGCTCCAAGTCAGCTCCAGCGCCAGCCCAGGGAAGCCTAAGCCGAGACAGGGAGCACGCGGTTCCGCCCCTCGGACGACCCAGGTCCAGTCGCCGCCGCCGCCGCTGCCGCGCACCGCCTCTCCCCGCCTCAAGGGTCGGGACGCGCAGGCGCGAGGGCGAGCGCTGGGGGCGGGGCCTGGGCGCGGTATAAATAGGGGTGGAGGGGCCTCGCTCAGCCGTCGCGGCGCAGTTGTTGGGTCTGCACGCTTCTTGGCAACTGTGTCTTCCGTGCGCGAGCGCAGAGCCGCGAGCCTAGGTTTTTCTCCGGCGGCGGCGGCGGCGGCGGCTGCGGGGAGCTGAGGCAAGCGGCGGCGGGCTCCATGGAGAGCGGCGGACGGCGGAGCAGCAGCGGCACTCCCTTCCCGGCACCCAGGCTTCAGTGACCCCCGTCCGCGTCCCGCACCGCGTCGGAGCGGCCGGTGGCCCCGGGGCTGACCGGCCTCGCCGCCCCTCGCGCGCCGCCCCCGACTCGCTCTCGTCCCGCTGCCCGGCGGGGTGGCGGCGGCCACTGGCGCCTGCCTCTATGATGAAGTTCAAGCCCAACCAGACGCGGACCTACGACCGCGAGGGATTCAAGAAGCGGGCGGCGTGCCTGTGCTTCCGCAGCGAGCAGGAGGACGAGGTGAGTGGGGCGCGCTCGGAGCTGCGCCGGGCCCGCGCTCCTTCCTCGGGGGCGGAGGAGACAAAGGGCCAGGCAGGGCCGGGCCGGGCCGAGCCGAGCCGAGCTCGGCCCGGTGGGTCGCGCCCAGCGGGAGGCCCCTCAGCCCTGATCGGGGCCGCCTGCGCCTTCCACGTTGCGGCGCCCGGAGGTTTCAGGTTGGAGCCGGGCTCGGCGGAGCAGCGATCGGGCCCGGGCGCCAACGCTGAGCCCCTTCGTCTCGGGCCGGCAGTTTTCCTTTCAGGTGGACCCGCGAACTCCCAGGCAGTTTGCGTTATTCTGTTGCGTTTTAAGAAACGACCTCCTCCTTGAAAGTTTGCGGACTGCGGAAGGATGGTTAGTGAGATGTGGGGCGAGGCCCGAAGGGGTAAAATGGGTGAGATAGGGGAAGGGTTGCCATTTTCAGGCCGTATGGAACGCTGGCAGTATTTATCGAGCTGCTTTCCTTGGGGGACGTCTGGGAAGGAACAGTCCTTGTTCCAAGAGTAAGCGGTCAGTGTGCTCTAGTTTACCACTGCATTGGGCTGCTGCTGAGGCTCCCAGGGCTCCTCTGCAGAGCGGTTTTTACGTATTTCAGTGACTCTTAATTTGCAAATGGGTCACTGAAACTTGCTCGATGTAACTAGTCGTTCGGCAGCCTATAAGTAAGTCTTTCAGCGTTGCCATGCATGAAATGATCGGGAAGAAGTTAATATTCTCACTTCTTCCACAACCAGATGTGTCCAGTAAAATACCAGGCTAAAGCTGGAGATGGGAATGTAATGGCTTCCCTTATTGCTGGTCGCTGCAGTTATGACAACATGCTCAGTAGCTTAGTTCTTAGTTAGCAAAAATCGCTTGAAAATTACCCTTTCTAAAATTCCTTTGGCCTTTATTTTTTAAAAAAACTAAGCACTTAGTTTGGTTGATCATTACTCATTCCAAGCCGTTAGGGTTGAACCTGAATCCTGAAGTTTCCAGAAAATAGTGGCCTAGAGATGGATCCCCGTAGGGGAGATAGAAACTACAAGGGGTCAGGTTTTATTTTAACACTTACAAAGAGGGCAAAGCCAACCAGCATTAAATGCATTCTACCAAAAAAAAGCAAGCTTAGAACCTCTGGAGGAAGGGTCATGCCCTTAGTTGAGAGTTTACAGTTGCTAGGTACACCAGAAGAGAGTAGCTACCTTTAACTGTATCCCTTGGAAGTAGCGATGAGTATTCCTCTTTCAAGGTGAGACAGTGCGGAGCTAAGTATGGTGCCAAGTGACAGGAAGTGTTATTGTCAGAATCCAGAGTCCAGTCCCAGGCCTGGCTCATCACAATTGGATGCTCACCGATTGTTGAATGAGTGAGATTTTGTGAGGCAGGGCTTCAAAGCCTTTCTGAAAGTGTTGCCTTTGAAGTCTTGCCATGATGTGAACTTGGAAGTTCAGGCTTCGTGAACATACAAGTCTCTAGGGGAGACATAAGAGAGATGGGAGGAAATTGAAATAATCCATGTCATGTCTATGGCAAAGCAGAAAATCTAACAAGAGCTTCAGGAATTACCTTAGCAGATACATGGATTTTGTGTGTGGTAATTATTCTGCCTGGGAGCGGAGGGTGTAGCTCAGTGGTCGAGCATTGCTGAAACCTGGAGCCCTTGGGTTTGATCCCCAGCACCATTAAAAAAAAAGCCAGGAAATTGTTTCTACTGTAAAATAACTATTAAGTGCACAAGAGACTATTGCCATTAGATTAAATGACGAAACAAGATTTTGAGAATATGTTAGAGAAATCCATTATGTAAAACTGACCTATAACCTGTAGGATGAGAAACTGGAAGGAGCTTATCAGCTTGTGAGAGGATGTGCTCTGAGGGAAGACTGGAATTCTAAAAAAAAAAAAAAAAAAGGAAAGCCAAGTTTAATATCTGGTTCAGCTCTTCAGAATCATCATTTTTGTGGCTGTGGATAGTCCAGGCTTTTTCTATTATATAATTACTGTATAAACTCTTAGCAAAACAGTAAGATGTCTGGAAAAGCCATGGATTTGCTTCCACTCTGAAATTACATTGCTAGTCTTCCAAGGATAGGATACAAACCAGCTTAAACCCACCTCTTTAGCTAGTAAGAAATGTCTTCTGTGTTAAGAACATGTAGGTCCTGGTTGGGACATTTTAGATATATACGTTGATGATGAGTGTAAATTAAAATACAAGAATAATTGCTGCTTGACCCAAAATAGCTAGGTTGGACTCCTGTCTAATTTGATCTCTGTACTGAAGAAAAGCACTCCCAGTAAGTCCTTAACTTCAGAACAGCTAGTAGTTCTAGGAAAGAAGGTTGTTAGAACAGCAGAGTCTTATTTTCTTTTGGGGTAGCTTTATATTTTTTCCCATCTTATCTTTTTCTGCCCTGTGAGGTATATAAGTGTTAGTATTCGTATAGGAACACATTAGCAGGAGTAACTTGTCCCAAGGTCACAGAAGCCTTTGGAGCCCAAGGGTTTTGTTTCCCAGTCTTCTGTTGATTTGACCAGCCTTTCCAGATAATTAATTCTTTTTTTTCCAGATAAATTATTTCTGTGGGGAACCACCCTCATTTTTGATAGTTGAGTTTCCAGAAAAGCCCTCAAATAATTATCCCATAGAGTAACCTGGGGTACTGTGTTGTGTAGTGGAAGATGACCATACCTTCCAAATAGGTGACTAGAAATAGGTTGCATTGACCTTATTTGCATAAATGAGAGTCTGAACAGAGGAACATACTATGTAGTGGAGGAGGTTATGACTGATAAAATGGAAAGCACAGTAAAAGTGCTTTTAGGTGTTCTGAGGTTCAAATCCAATGTGGTTTATTTGGAATGGGATTTCAATGAGTAGGAAAGAGGGACCAGGCTTTCCAAATAGAGCAAGACTTGGGGCTGTGGTCTTGGCAGTTTAGGACAGCATAGAACAAGAAATTAAAAGCCAGAGCACCTTACATATAACTTTTACAACTGAGGACTTGGTAGGAAAGGAACTCTTTTGAACAAAGGACATTTAGGGTTTAGATGCATTCAAGCTTGAGAGTGATCTGCCAGCAAAATAGGATAGACTGCCAAGGGGAGAAATAGAAATGACTTGCTCCTAGGCGGAATCTAGGCAGTCGCAGGAGAGGGCATTAACAGATCAGCCCTAAGAACTGATGTACCCTGCTGTGGATTTGTTGCTCTAATTAGCTTTATGCTCCATGGGCTGCCCATCCTGTACAGGTGGGCTTGCTATAATGCTGAATATGTACTCCTGGGAAATCTGCCTTCTACAATGTCACAGTAAAACCCAAGAATAGGTGGGGAAACATGGAGCCAGAAAACTAAATACAACCAGAACTCTTACTGTACAGCCCAGGCTGGCCTCGACCTTGAAGTGATCCTCCTGCCTGGGCCTCCGAGTGCTGGGATTATAGGCGTGAGCCACCATGCCCTGCCAGAACTCTTACTAAGTAGTAACAATCTTAATCAGAAATATTACTACAATTAGATCTCCATTAGCATCTTTGCACTTTTTTGAGAATTGTACCCAGGGTCTTTCAGCTGAACTAAGTTATCCAGGCTGGGCTCAAACTTGGAATCCTCCTGCCTCAGCCTCTCCCAGAGTGCTTGCTGGGATTACAGGCATCTACCACCAGTCCTTGCTCCAGGCCTTTAAAAACATTTATTTTGAGACTGGGTACTTACTACCAGGTTGCCTAGGCTGGGCTGAAATATGTGATCCTCCTGCCTCGGCTTTCTAGAGTGTTGGAATTATGGGCATATGCCACCACACCCAGTCACGTTTTTATTTACACTTAGATTCAACAGTCATTCCCCTTTTCATATATATAGTCTGGGGCACATTTCCTCAAGTCACTGAAGATTATTTTCAAGAGGAGGTCATTTTCATCAAGATTAAGCACTATGAAAAGGCAGCCTTTTTTTCTCAGTACTGGGAACTGAGCTCAGGACCTTGCACTTTCCAGGCAGGCATTGCGCCTCTGAGCTAAATCCCCTGCCCAAGGCAGCCCTTTTAAACAAAGGGAAGTATCAACATCTGTAGGCCTACAGCTCTTTAAGACCTACAGGGCAGCCTCTAGGGGCATAACTAGCCACTTTGTCCAAGGGAAGGCACTTCTGTAGAATTTGCACTTGTGTTTTCCTTAGGGTCATCTTGTGTTTTCCTTAGGGTCATCTTGTGTTTTCCTTAGGGTCGTCTTGTGTTTTCCTTAGGGTCGTTCGTTATATGACCAAGGCTTTCTCACTGAAAAGGCTAACCCCTTCACTTTAGAACACTGCTAGAAGGAAGCGGCATGATCAGCCTCACCTAGCACGGTCCCGGCACCTTGAGCCACCCGATGAGACCATCCCATGCCACCCAATGGGACAGCCATGCACATACCACGGTAGTTCAGGTCTGTCCGGCAGCGAGACATACAAGTCACAGCCCTGTCGTGAATGTGTTGACCATTGCTTATGTATCTCTCTACCGGTCTCATGCCACCTATTTTGAATTAAGCATAGTTTAGGAGAAGGAACTGTTCTTTTTATTTTTTTATTTTTTTTTGCGGTAGCAGGGATAGAACTCAGGACCTTGCACTTGCAATGCAGGCGCAGTGCCACTGAGCTAAATCCCCGGCCCAAGAACTGTTATTTCTGATCTGCTGTGTCTCTAGTCCAAAAAGCTGTGCTGATTTGCCTACCAGCAGTGGGGAGCCAGTGTGCTGGGGCCATTGTAGCCTGCGGTCTTTGGAAGGGGCCCCGTTTGTGCATTGTGGATGTTCCTGATCTGCTGCTCTGACCTACTTTTGGTTAAATTCCTTTGAAACTGTTAACTGCAGTAGAAATAGGTTAACTCATAGTTGTAATCATTCATGGTATCCTGATTGATGATTACGTGGGAAGAAGGAACTGCCATGCCCAAACGGCTTCTAAATAGCCACAGTCCGCACACTGTGATCTCTCAGAGTGAAGAGATCACTTGAGCTTCCTCCCTTCCACCCCAGACCCAGGAGGGCTTAGCCGTTTCCAGAGGGAGGCCATGACCATTAGCAGTTTTACAGGTAAAAGCTGGAACACATGGCAATTTGGGGCCACTTGGTAGAGGATCCATCCACAACCCAGCCTCTGAAGGCATCACTGTTACCTAGAGCCAGCCTGTGCTTCTGTTCAGCGTGCTCACATCTCCAGTCAGGAGGAGCTGTGGGGATACAGGCAGAGTCACCTTCAGCCCACAAGACTCAGGGCTGCTTCCAAGTTGAATGCTGTCACTCATTCTCTACACTGTTGACAGTAAATTACTCCTGTTGGAAATGCTTACAAAGAAGATGGTATGAGAAATGGCCCAGTAACAGTGTTGGGAAGGAAGGGTGTTTCGTCCTGGTCACGAGCCAGTGGGAGGAGAGGGGATGAGGCAGCAGAAGTGTGCTGTAGAGGCCTGTGGAGCAGTCAGGTTGGATCACTGCAAGGGATTCCTTATTTTTCACCACTCTGACAGCCCTGGCTTTGGGGGTTTGAGTGTGATTCCAGTCTGGTTGTGCAGCTTGGGGTGAGTATGGTATAACCTTTTTCTTATAAATCCTTGCTTCGGTCTCATCTGTAGCCTAGATGGAAGGAAGGCTTTATGTATATTTTCATCACTAATGTGACAGACTGCTGCCTTCATGGATACCATAAAGGAATTAAAAACCTGTGAGTGACCATGTATGTATGGCTCTCAGTTGTTAGCGTATCTTCCTGAATGAATCTTCATAACTCTGCTTTGTTACTTCAGCAGTACCATTTTTAGAGCATTAATTATCATGCTGGCTATCTTTCCATCTAGTATATCGGAGGTGTTACAAAAATGTTTAGATGCCTGTTAGTATGCTTTGGGAGATAGCAAATAAATAATCCTTTATGATATGGTTCTATAGATTTAGATTCTTCTTTTTGTATGGGAAGGGCTTAAAAGAGCAGCTATACACTTTCTGAAATCAGTATACAGTAATTGCCAGAAAAGGCAGTATTCTGTTTGCTATTGTTGTGCTTAGGTAAATGGCTGCACCAAAGCAAATTTTTTAAAAAGCGCCATTACAACAAACTTGAGACTTGATTTTAGATTTCCACATGTGTAGAAGACATTTAATAGTTCAGTTTACCTATAGACTTTTATTTTAAAAGGTATAATGTATGAATTTATTCCTAGTAAAAACAATCACTGTGCTCAGTACCAAGGTCTCAGAAGTCCATGTAACAAAATTTCACTTGTTAACTATATGGGCATATTCATCAATCTGGGTTTTTTTGGTTTTGTTTTTATTTTTTTTTGGAGACAGGATCTCACTATGTAGTTTAGGCTGGCCTTAAACTTGCTGTGTATACAGTTCAAGGCAATCTTCCTGCCTCAGTCTTCCAGACTTTGGGAGTACAGGTGTGCGCCACCACTCTTGGCCATTAATCTCAATTTTTGTGGAAGACTAAATTTGTAGTAACAAAGATGTGCTGCCTTTAAATGTCTAATATTGGGGAAGGTATTCTTTATGATATCAGACCTTTTATTTGGCTTAAATTCAACTGGAAGAATATAACAAAGTCTTTGATAATAAAAGTTAACTTATACTAGCCTCAAACAGTACCGAATAGACTCTACAAAAAGTTTTTTTTGGAGTTTCTCATCATGTAGCCCAGACTGGCCTTGAATGAACTTGCAGCGATCCTCCTGCCTCAGCCTCCCCATTGCTAGAATTACAGACGTGTACCACCAAACCCAGCTACAGAATTATTCTTTTTTTTTTTTTTTTTTTTTTTTGGTACCGGGGATTGAATTATTCTTAAAGCTGAATTTCTTTAGTGGTTCTTGGAAAAAATGTAGTCCAGAAAAATATAGGTTGATGTTTTTCTTAACAAATTCCAGGTGACATCAGCAGGAAACCTTATGTCTTTCTTTGTTTTTGTGGTGCTGGAGACTGAACCCAGGGCATGATAGAAAGCCCTCTAGCCCTGAGCTCTGTCTGTCTCCAGATCTTTTAATTTTGAGATGAGCTCCTTGAGTTGCCCAGGCTGGCCTTGAATTTACGAACCCCTGCCACAGCTTCCTGCTGTAACTGAGTTGCAGGCCTGCACTTGCTTTCTGGATAGTTCCAGAGCGACCAGTGTGCCACAGTGCAGCTCCCCATTCCCAGCCCCATTGCCTGAAACCCTGGGCTTTTAAACCTGGTGAAACCTGTCCCTAGAAAGAGAAATGTTTTCATAATACTGGAAACTATAACATGATATATAAATATAAACTTGGCTTTCATATTTGTAATCTCCACCTTCTGAAATAGGGCAGGTGTGAGGGTGCTTGGGGATTAAGTAGGCTGAGAAAGTCTTACATGTTTATCTTAATTCAACCCCCAGCCTAAAAAGTCACTGTCATCTGTAGCCTCCCTAATTAAAATTATGGACATCTTTGGAAGTTATGCCACTTATTTTTG